GGATGGGATGGGATGGGATGGGATGGGATGGGATGGGATGGGATGGGTGGAGGGGACACGAGGGGGATGGATGGAGGGGACAGGTGGATGGTTGGGATGGAGGGAACATGCAGGGAATTGGGATGGAGGGGACATACATGGTGGGATGGGATGGAGAGGACACAAGGGGGATGGGATGGAGAGGAACATGAGGGGGATGGGTTGGAGAGGAACAGGGAGGGATGGGATGAAGGGGACAGAAGGGAAATGGGATGCAGGGGACATGTGAAGCATTTGGGATGGAGAGGACACACATGGGGTACCCCCACGTCTGCCCAGACCCCCCCACCCCCTTACTCTCCTCCAGCAGGCCCGTGTCAGACAGGGAGCTCTCCTCGGAGACGCTGAGCTCTGTGGGGCCAGGACAAGAACAGGGGAGAGAGGGGCAGGGGAAAGGGACAGGGGAGAGAGGGACGGGGGAGAGGGGGTATGGTGAGAGCAGAGTCGGAGCCACCGCCAATGCCCGAACTCTCCCACGGCCGCGCCACCTCCCAGCGCGTCCCCGCGGGGCTCCGCTCCCCCCTTTGTCCCTCCCTCCCTCTTCCCCTCCCGTCCTTCCTCCCTTCACGCCACCTGTCTCGACACGCTCCGGTACCGGCCGGGCCGGCTCTGCCGAGCCGGGCAGCTCCCAACCTGCTCCCAACCTGCTCCTGGCCTCATCCCAGCCTGTTCCCAGTCTGTTCCCCGCCTCATCCCAGCCTGATCCCAATCCGATCCCAGCCTCATCCCAGCCTGCCCAGCCTGGGCACATTGGGGGCATGGGCAGGGAAGGAGCCGCCACGGCCCCGGTCCTTGGGAGGGGACAGGATGGGGACCCCCTGAATGGCTCGGGATGGGACACGGAATGGGACACGGCAGCTGGGTCACATCCTACCCGTCTTTGAGGTGCAGGGGATGGGGGATCAGAGGGAGTTCTGGGGTGCAAGCAACAGGGGTGAAGTGTTGGGGGGCATTTAGGGGTGCAATCAATGGGGTGAAGTATTGGGGTGCATTGAGGGGGCGAAGTTTTGGGGTGCTGTCAAGGGGTGGAATCGGTGAGGTGAAGTACTGGGGTGCATTCGAGGTGCTATAAATGGGGTTAAGTTTTGGGATGCACTCAACAGGGTGCATTCACAGGGAGGGCATGTTGAGGTGCACATCCCAGGGATGGCATTCCAGGGAGTTTCCAGGGGGGAATTGGGGGGCAGGCACTAGGGGTGGTGTATTGGGGGGTACCCAAGGGGTGTGTTCAGTAGGGATAGGGAATTGGGGTGCATTCCCCAGGGATGGTATTTTGGGGGTTATCTAGGGGCGTGCATTCATTGGGGATGGAGGACTGGGGTGTATCCACTCAGAATGGGGAACTGGGGGGCATCTGGGGGGTGCACTCACCAGTGATGGGGAATTGGGGGGTATCCAGAGGGATTGGGATGGGGAACTGGAGTGTATTCCCCAGGGACACCCCACCAAGCTGCCCCCCACTCCTCCTTCCTGCCCCCCCCTCGGCTGGGGGTGCCGGGGATCTCACCGTGGGCAGTGCCCGTGTCCCTGTGCCCGGTCAGGAGGCGCCTCTGGCTCAGGACCTGTTCCAGGTCGCGCAGCTTCTGCTCCTCCCGCAGCGCCGCCGTTTGTCGCCGCTTCCGCAGGCGCCGCCCGATGTTCTGCTCGTGGCACAGGCGGCGAGAGGCCTCGGCGATCCGCAGCTGCAGCGCCCGCTCCCGCTCCAGGGGGTCCTGGGCATGGGGAGGGGGGGTCAGGAACACGGCGGGGCCCACCGTGAGACCCCAACATCACCTGGAGCTCTCGGAAACATGGCAGAGCCCACCCTGACAGCCCGACAGTACTCAGAGCTCTGGGAAACATGGTGGTACCCACCCTGATACCCCAACACCACCCAGAGCACTTGGCACCCCAACAACACCGATATCACTGGGAAACACGGTGGTACCCACCGTGACACCCCAATGCTGCCCAGAGCTCTGGGAAACACGGCGGCACCCATCATGACACGTCAACAGCACCCACAGCACTGGGAAACATGGTGGTACCCACCCTGACACCCCGACCGCACCCAGCACATCGACACTCCAACACATCCCATCACCTCAACACCCATCGGCACCCCAACACATCCCAACAATACCCATCATCTCACCCTGACACCCCAACAGCCCCCACAGCACCGGGAAACACGGCAGCCCCCACCCTGACAGCCCGACAGCACCCAGCACCTCAGCACCATCGAGCACAGAACCCCAACATCTCCCAGCACCTCGGTGCCCCAACACCTCCCACAGCACTTGGGACTCCAACACATCCCAACCACACCCACAGCGACACCCACTCTGACACCCCAATACTGCCCAGAGCACTGGGGAACATGGCAGAACCCACCGTGACACCCCAAGACCACCCAGAACCTCAGCACTCCAACATCACCCACAGTGACACCCGTCCTGACACCCCAACAGCACCCACAGTGCTTGGAAACACAGTGACACCCCCCAAGACACCCCAGCACCTCCCAGCCCCTTGGCACCCCAACGTCTGTGGAACCCCAACATCTCCCACCACCTCACCTGGACGGCCCAGTACCTCCCAGAGTGCCTGGAACCCCAACACCACCATTACACACGGAACCCCAACATCTCCCAACACCTCTGCACCCCAACATCACCCACAGCGCCTGGAACCCCAACACTACCATCACTCCTGGAACCCCAACATCTCCCATCCCACTGGAGACCCCAACAGCACTTGGGACTCCCACACTTCCCACCCCCTCAGCATCCAAGCTGACATCGCACACGGAACCCCAACACATCCCATCTACTCAACATCCCAGCACTGCCCACGGCACCTGGAACCCCAACACATCCCATCACCTCGACACCTCAGCACCACCCATGGCACCTGGAATCCCACCTCCTCCCATCCCCCTGGCACCCCAACACCACCCATCACGTTTGGGATCCCAAATCCACCCGCAGCACCTGGAATCCCAACACATCCCTTCACTGGGCACCCCAGCACCCCAACAGCACCCTGGGCACTGGGAATCCCCACCCACGGGATCGGGACAGCGACATCCTCATGGGAGCCCTGGGCATCTTCCACAGCCCCGGGATGGGATGGGATGGATGGGGTGGGAAGGGATGGCATGGGATAGCATGGGATGAAGAGGGGTCCCCACCCCTCCCCTTTGCACCACAGACCCCTCACCACTCCATGCAGGACAACGATCTCATCCAGTTTGAAGGCAGCCCCGATCCGGCGCCGCACCTTGGGGGGCTTCTCCCCAGCCTTTAGGGGGTACTCACGGGGCAGCGTCCCCGTCAGTTCCTGGGACAGCACAGGGACACTGAGCGGGGACACTGAGCGGGGACACTGCGGGGACACTGAGTGGGAACACGACGGGGACACTGAGTGGGGACACTGCAGGGACACTGTGTGGGGACACTGAGTGGGGACACTGAGTGGGGACACTGCGGGGACACTGAATGGGAACACGATGGGGACATTGAGTGGGAACACTGCAGGGACCCTGAATGGGGACACTGCAGGGACACTGAGCGGGGACACTGCGGGAACACTGAGTGGGGACATTGAGCTGTACCACCATGGGGACATTAAGCAGTGACACTGTGGGGACACTGAGCTGTGTCACTGCAGCGGGGGGAACAGGGTAGGTAGGGGGTCTCCTTGCTTGGCGGTGGGGTCGGACCGCGGGTCCCTGTGCGCCACTCGTGGGGACACTGAGCGGTGCCCCCGAGGTCTGAGCGGGGGGTCACCCCGGGGGTCCAGAGCCCCTCTCAGGGTTAGGGGGGTTCACATATGGGGTCCCGAGCCCTTCTTAGGGCTGGGGGGGGTCACCCCGGGGGTCTCGGGTTAGTGGGGTCACCCCTGGGGTCCCGAGCCCCGCTCACCGCCTCCCGCAGGCAGAGCCGCCGCAGTTCCTGCACGCAGCCCTCGAGCCGCGCCTCCAGCGCCTGCTGCTGCCGCCGCCCCGCCTGCACCCGCTCCTTCGGAAGGGGCACCGGGCTGGCCGGGTCTGGGGGGGCACACGGACGGGGGCACGGACCCATGAGGGCACGGACGGCACCCGGGCACCAACCCCCGGCCCCCGCAATAGGTGCGTGTCAAGGCCGGTGGGAGGAAAAAGCAGCCGTGACCCCCTCCCAGAGCAGCACCCACGGGTGTTCCAGCCCCCCCCCCCGGGTATCCATGACCTCCCCAGCAGCACCCTCGGGGGTTCCAGCCCCCCCAGGGTATCCATGACCCCCCCAGCAGCACCCTCGGGGGTTCCAGCCCCCCCGGCAGAGCCGTGCCGCCGCCGCGGGGGGGGGGTCACAGGGGGAAGGTTTCATTCTGACTCACCCCCGCCAAACCCAGCTAAGCCAAACCCTGCCCAAGGCACCCCCCCTTT